GTCACCCTTTGAACTCCTTTATGGCTACACTCCACATTATGACAATTTTCATCCCTTTGGTTGTCGTGTTTATCCTTATTTGCGTGATTATATGCCTAACAAGCTTTCTCCCCGCAGCATTCCTTGTATTTTTTTGGGTTATAGTCCTGTTCATAAAGGGTTCCGCTGTCTTGATCCCGCCACCACTAAGCTATATATCACCTGCCATGCTCAATTTGATGAAACTCACTTTCCTGCTATCCCTAGCTCCCAAGCCCAACCTCTTTCCACTATTCCTATTTCAAATTTCTTGGAACCACATCTTCATCATATTGATTCATCCCCCCCTACCACTTCATCACCGCACATTCCTCAATCCAGTTCATCCCCGTGTGATATTTGTTCTGACCTTGTAGATGAGTCTGTGCAGGTTGATACTTCTCTTGCAGGTTCCACTTTGTCACCCTCGACTTCTAATTCAACCTCTATTGAACCTCCTGTTGATTTCTCTTCTTTGGGCACTCATCCTATGATCACACGCGCCAAAGCTGGTATATTCAAGACTCGTCATCCAGCAAATCTTGGTATGTTGGGCTCATCTGGACTTCTCTCTGCTCTTCTTGCATCCACTGAGCCAAAAGGATTCAAATCTGCGGCTAAGAATCCTGCTTGGGTGGCTGCCATGGATGAAGAAATTCGAGCGTTACAACAAAATGATACTTGGACTTTGGTTCCTCGCCCTGCCAACACCAACATCGTGGGCTCTAAATGGGTGTTTCGTATTAAATATTTGCCCGATGGATCCGTCGAGCGTTTCAAGGCTCGTCTCGTTGCCAAAGGTTATACTCAGGTTCCTGGTCTTGACTACACTGACACTTTCAGTCCAGTTGTCAAAGCTACCACTGTCCGTGTTGTGCTTTCTATTGCAGTCACAAATAAATGGCCTCTTCGACAACTTGATGTCAAGAATGCTTTTCTCAATGGAACGCTTATTGAACGTGTTCATATGGAACAACCTCCTGGGTATGTTGATCCTCGATTTCCAAAGCATGTTTGTCTATTAAAGAAAGCTCTCTATGGCTTAAAGCAAGCTCCTCGTGCTTGGTTTCAGCGTTTTAGCTCATTTCTTCTCACACTTGGGTTTTCTTGTAGTCGCGCTGACACGTCCCTTTTTGTCTTTCATCAGCAATCTAACCTTATCTATTTGCTTCTTTATGTTGATGACATTATTGTTACCGGCAACAACTCATCTCTTATTAACAGCTTTACTCGCAAGCTTCATTCTGAGTTTGCTACCAAAGATTTGGGTTCTCTCAGTTACTTTCTTGGTCTTGAAGCTTCACCCACTCCTGATGGTCTCTTTATCAGTCAGTTAAAATATGCTCGAGATATTCTTACTCGTGCTCAGTTGCTCGATAGCAAACCAGTTCACACTCCCATGGTTGTTTCTCAACACCTGACTGCTGATGGTTCTCCTTTCTCTGATCCTACTCTCTACAGATCTCTTGTTGGCGCCCTTCAGTACTTGACTATCACGCGTCCAGATATTGCCTATGCTGTCAATTCTGTCAGTCAATTCTTGCATGCCCCTACTGCAGATCACTTTCTTGCTGTCAAACGTATTCTTCGCTATGTCAAAGGAACACTCCACTTTGGTCTTATCTTTCGTCCATCCACTGTTCCTAGTACGCTAGTCGCTTATTCGGATGCTGACTGGGCTGGTTGTCCCGATACTCGTCGTTCTACATCCGGCTATTCTATTTATCTTGGTAACAATCTCATTTCTTGGAGTGCCAAAAAGCAACCTACTGTATCACGCTCCAGCTGTGAATCTGAGTATCGTGCTCTTGCCACAACTGCTGCTGAACTTCTTTGGGTTACGCATCTTTTGCATGACCTCAAGGTCCCTATTTCACAGCAGCCCTTACTCTTATGTGACAACAAAAGTGCTATTTTTTTGAGCTCTAATCCTGTTTCTCACAAGCGGGCCAAGCATGTTGAACTAGATTATCATTTCCTTCGAGAACTTGTTATCGCTGGCAAACTTCGTACACAATATGTACCCTCTCATCTCCAAGTTGCTGACATCTTCACAAAGAGTATTTCTCGACCTCTTTTTGAATTTTTCAGATCCAAGCTTCATGTTCGTTCAAATCCGACGCTCAGCTTGCGGGGGGGTGTTAAGGATAGTTGACCGTTCATTAAGGCAAATATCTAGATATTTGCCTTACATTACGGGTTACCATATTTTCTCTTTTACTAAATGCAAATATATTGTATTCATTTATTATTCTTTCCTTTTATCGCTATTTCCTTATTATTTGTAATTTACCTTATTTCTGTATTCTGTAAATGATTATAAATAAGAGAACTCTCACCACCATTTGGGTGTGGTGGATTAATCAAACATTCACATGTTCAATAAGTGATTCTATTCTGTTCCGGTTCATCTTCTAAGATTTCTTGCTTTGCTTGATTCTCATCAGCGTTTTTTCCAAAATCATTCGAATAACATCCCTCACCAGGTTCTTCTTGAACAAGCTCACCTAACTTTTGCAACTGTTTCAAATACCAGGGGAGTGCTTACCACTACAGTTCATGATGAACTGATGAAAAAGGAAAAAGGAATTTATGGTACCTGTGAGAGCAAGGAGTTGTTCTCTTCCTGTAAAGTTCTAAACTGAGAAGCTAGATTATTATAACTAGCTCTGAGTCTCCTGAAATCGTTCTCCATCTGCTTCGACTTCCATCTTGCTCTTCTATTCTGAAACCAGATAGAAATCTGGCGAGGTTGGAGTCCAACTCGGCTGCCAGCTGCACCGTCTTCCTCAAATCAAGCTTCGAATCGGATGAATAAAATATGGACTCCAGTGACCTGACTTGTTCATCACTAAACCTTCTTTTGTTCATGTTGTTGCTCTTCTTCTTCTTCTTCTTCCTCCTCCTAGGAGTTGGACATGTCTGCGAAGGGGTTACTTCAAAATTTTGTATTTTGATGTACTCCTGTCTCTCCATAACTTTTGTTGAAACTACAAGCTCTTTCGGAAAGGAATAGAGATAAGAATATATTTATAGGGGGAAGTGTGAAACAACAAATGTTTGCATGGAAACCAATGGAGCTCAATATCGTGTCGTTTTTTCCAGCCCATGTCCTGTGGTCGTCTGCATCCATTTTTCCCTTTTCAGCTTCAAAACTAAGCACCACCACCACCCTCTACAGTATTTTTTTTTTTTTCCTTCTTCAAAACCTCTTGCTATAAAGGCACTATACTACATGCTAATCCTGGCCTAGCTAGCTTCCCATGTATTGAACCCCTTTCCTTTTACACGGGCACAAATATCTGCTGTGTCTCGCATAAATATCATAGTGATGAATTCCAATCAGAGCCTTTAGTTTCAGTTTGAATGAGATCTAATATCTGGGATTGGCTGTGGCTGTGTGTGGCCAAATACAGACAAAGTGTAAGGTATTGTGGATATTGTTGTCAAATCCATACATATTTACAAAGGGAAGAGGCGGCTTTGGCTTTTGGCTGGTGTTTGATGACGGCACAAAGCAGTGGAAATTGGTGATCCAAGACGGTGATGGATGCCATATTTAGCAGTGAGCGTAAGGCATAAATTGGTTTCTTGTTTATTCATTAAAGGCCATGGCTTGCACGCCACGGCCCTTGCGAGTTCATGACGCTCACAATCTCCTTTGATACAACGAACCAATGAAGTTTCAGAGTGGCTTTGAATTTTGAAGCTTTGGTTGGCTAATACTTGGACACGTTTCGAGGGAACTTAGTGATGGTTTCAAAATTGATTTCATTTGAACGATAAAGCATCACGCATTGAAGCGTAGGCATTGCATTGAATGAAGATAAGATAATTAGTTATTGGGTAGGAGATTGGGGTGAAGTTTCTGTGAGAAGGAATGAGTTTTGAAATCCATGTTCTTCATTGCTCTAAGCCTCCCCTGCCGAGCCGCTGCAGCCTCTACCCCAACCCCAATCCCCGTTTTCCGATTTCCATCCTCTTCCTCATCAACTTCTCCGGCAACAAGAAAACCCATCACGACGTGGGGGCTAATGCCTTCCAACGTGGGGAGGGCATCTTGGTCGGTGTAGAACAGGCTAATATCCGGGAGGAATCCGAGGAGGAGGGAGGAGTAGAGGGTCCAACCATTATAATCCTCTGCCCCCGCTCCGGCTTACACTGAACTGAGGTTCCAGAAATGCCCCCACATCTCTTCTTCTCTTCTCTTCTTTATTCCTCCTTCATTCCTTCTTGCTTACTTTCTTTCATCATCTTTGGCTTAATAAAGCATTCCCACCTACCAAATAGCCTCAACAAATTAAGAAATACATATTATGGATGTTAGGTTCAGCTTCAACCCACCTCCACCAAACTCTTCATTTTCTTAAACTTGATTCAAACCAACTCCAACCCTGCGCACCACCTTCCTTTCACCAACCATTCAACAAAAAACACTGAACCAACCAACACGTGAACTCACAGGGAAAGTTCCATCACTGTTTTCCCTATCAACTTCTCCTGGGTTATTCATCTGCATCTACCATCTACCATCTCTATGTGCTAACTATGTAGCAGCAGAATGATAATGAAAAAACACAAACACACAGCATCCAGAATGCAGAATGTGGATGATCAAAAACAAATGACTAAAGCGAGGAGGTTGATTGAGAGAGAGTTTCCAGTTAGAAACATTGAAATCAAGTTCCAAGTGTTCCCAGGGACCAACCCTACAGAATCCATCAGTCCATCCATCATAACATCGTCACAGATAAACGACTACGAGCCTCAAAATGCCATCCACTCTAAAAAAAATATTAAAAAAAAAAAAAAAAAAAAAAAAAAAAAAAAAAAAAAAAAAAAAAAAAAAAAAAAAAAAAAAAAAAAAAAAAAAAAAAAAAAAAAAAAAAAAAAAAAAAAAAAAAAAAAAAAAAAAAAAAAAAAAAAAAAAAAAAAAAAAAAAAAAAAAAAAAAAAAAAAAAAAAAAAAAAAAAAAAAAAAAAAAAAAAAAAAAAAAAAAAAAAAAAAAAAAAAAAAAAAAAACTAAACGCATATCTCATTCACCAACAACACCTAGTTCTAGGTACACCAAAAGGTACCAACTCAACTCCACTGCAGAGGATCATGCACCACCAAACCCCACAACCCCTTTGGAAATATCTCTATAACCATAATATATATATGCAATATATATATAAATATATCTATTGGGCACTAGGCCGACATGGGATAGAAGCAGGGAGCATCAGTTCAGCTGGGCACGAGGAGAGCGAGGGCGAACTGGGGTCTTTGATGGGCTTACCCTGAAAACAAAACCCATAAGAATCAAAACGGTTTTACTTCTGCAAACAAAAACACAACACGTTTCTCAAAATACCCAATACCAGAAAAGGAAACAAGAACAAACTATACTAACCTTATTGGCAGGGAACCCAACACCACTCCACTGCAATTAAGTGCAGCAATTGCACTCTCAGCCTGCAAATTAAAAATAAATGCAATACTGTTACGCAAAGTCATGGTGAAGTTACAGCCAAACACGACTTCATTCATGTAACTGCATGGGTAAACACCCATGTTCTCTAGAAAGTCTTTTAGGGCACAGCTAATGCTTTGTTATTCACAAACATGAAAAACAATAATCACTCAAATGAAAAACAATAATCACTCAAATGAAAAACAATCAATCTTTGACAATTTAATAGATGATATATGCATTACAAAGATATTTGAAATTGCTCGACAGATGTGAATGCAGCATCTTAAAGCCATCACTCAAGTGCTCTCCATTCTATATGCCACAAAACCAACGATGTATTGGTGAATGATAACTACAAGCCACAACAGACTTGTTGACAAGGCAACCACATCCATTATTAAGTTTACATATAGATATAACAAGTAAAGCAGTACTCTAAATGCATTTTTGGGGGGTGTTCGACAATGGTGCTCTAAATGCATTCTGTACCCCATAAAAGCAAAGATGCATTGATGGATGGTAAATCCAAGAAACACACATCAGATTTGTTGATAATTGTTCTTGATCGAAAAAATGTGAAGGAAAGATCCCGCTGAATTGAATTGGGTCCATGAATCTAAGAAATAGTGAGAATTCTTGATCTCTCTCGGTTCGAAAATCCAGAATTTGAATTGATGGCCGTTCATTAATTAAGTCAATCAAACTAGGCAAGTTTGTCTTGCATGCCATCGTCCCCGTTTTGGCGTGAGTTTCTTCTGGGTTAGGAAGTAGCAAACCAAATTCATCCTCACCACCCCTCTAATAGTTGAAAAGGCAAACCATGTCCATCCTCATCACTCCTCTAATGTTCAATCTCCAACCCCCACCCCCACAAAAGGAAAAGAAGAAAGAAGTGTAAAAAAAATAAAAAAAATAAATAAATAAAAAAGCAATAAAATCAACGGAAGTGAACAAGATTACCATGGTAAACTCAACAAAAGCTATACGAGTGGAATGATGATAATCTCCAAGTAGCCTAAGGCGCTGAACCTACACAAGGTTAACAGATGACATAGATTAAGCCACAACCAGAAAACATAAAAGCGCTGTAAAGAGAATCAAATAAAATTCCGAAGAAATAAGACATCTGTTAAACGAAGAAGAACAGACCTCTCCACATAGTGATTCAAAGAACAGCTTGACCTCTGCTTGAGTAACCTACATGACATCACATATCATGAAAACAATCAAGCATATTTAAGTTCTTTCATTCTCTCCTCTTCCAAAAACACAGTTCTCAAATTCATTCAGAAAGTTTTTCACTTGCAAACCTACCTTCTTGTCAATATTTGTACAATAGATAGTTCTTGAGCACATCTCACGTTCATCATCCGACTAGAAACAATAAAACACAAGAAAATCAGTTTCAAGAAAAGAAGTACAATAAATTAAAATGAGTTGATAGCATTGCTAGGAACAAATTAGAATGGATAAAAAAAAAATGAAGGAGTGACATTGAAGACGGTTAATTACCCTGGGTAAAAAGTCAGGATTGACAGGTGCTATGGCAGTTTTTGAGGGCAGCACTCTAACTGGATAGAAACCAAGAACTGTCCCTGAAAGACTCAAGGAAGCTCTTGCACCCTCTGCTAGCATGAAGCAAATTAGATATGATATAGTCGGAAATACAACTAATATACTGAGCTTGGGAGTGTACCTTCATCCGTGAACTCAATGAAGGCAAAATGAAGAATGGAGTTGGGATCACCGCAGATACGACAGTCAACAACCTATTGAACATACATCACATTAAGCTAGCAGTAAAATGCCACAAAAAAAAAAAAAAAAAAAAAAAAAAAAAAAAAAAAAAAAAAAAAAAAAAAAAAAAAAAAAAAAAAAAAAAAAAAAAAAAAAAA